TGTTTTAGACAAAACAAGCCATTTTCCAAAGCCTCTACAGACCTAACCGCTCAGTATTTTTGACTGATTCTTTGATAGGCTCATTCAGGTTGACCAGAGGTATGTTTTGGCTACCTCCCCAGTTAGTGCATATTTTTTTTTTCAGATGCCAAAAATGGCCTCCAGAATAAAAACCTTCTCAAGGCTCCAGCTTTCACTGAAATGAGTCCATACCAAGGGAAGTGTAACACAACCACATAATGTAAAAGAATACACAAATACATTTGAGGTACAATAGATTCTTAGAAAGAACCAGAAAAATGAACCAACCTTCATTCTTTTTGCACTCAACTGTATCCTTGTATTCATGTATCCATAGTGTATGTCATGGTTCTGTGGCACATGGTTGTTGTGTCAGTTCAGCTAGGTGTGTGTGAGCAGAGTCGTGAGCCAAGCTGGGAAGCATATGTTGTATGGGATCAAAGGAGTTCAATATATCAGTAATTTGATGTATGCATATAGGAAGAGAAACCTGGAATAAAATGGAATGAGTAAATTGACAATCAACGATGGTGTTAAAACCTTAAATGGGTGAAGGGGCTTGGCTATGGTTAAACATTTGGAGTAAAAGCCAAAGAAAGAAAGCACTCCCCTCAGGCCTCAGGTCATGTGCCACCTATTCTGTGGTAACAGGTTGAGCTAAGCATGTATAAGTGCTCGGCAACTCTCCCCCACATCGGTCTCAGGTCTTGTGACTCACAAAATTGACAAGTCTGGTTGTGGAGGCTCTTGACAGCACTTGTGAAGCCACAATTACCACTGGCTCCACAATAACTGCCAGCTCCAGTCATGAAGCTGAACAGAGATGCTGCATCATCAAGTAAACGAGGCTACCTGCCTCACAAAATAACCACTCCCCTGTCCAATTCAAAGTTGAAATATTATTCTCAATATACCTTGAATGACATCTCATAACTCTACATCCATATTAATTCATGTAAGTCATGTACAAAGAGTGTGATAGGCAGCTACAGTACTCCCATAGAGTTTAGAAACCTAGATTATCTTCTAGATGTTTGATGGACGGGGTTTGAAAATATATTCAGCCAGCTTTCTAAACAGTACAAATCTACACAAGCATAATCAATTTTTTTTGTGGAAGCAGATCTTGTC